GGGGGGGGGGGGGAGCGATGGACTTGTGGACCAGCAATGGATGAACAAACATGATCAGAAAATTGATTCTATCGACTGCAACGGAAGACATTTGTTTTCTAAGAAAGCGACATTGGTGGATGTTAAGCTCATAATCAAAATTTTAGGGAAACAAAGTTAAGATTACAAAAACAATTATATAATTTAGTCGATTAAAGTCCACATAGCTTTCTTGGTAATGGTGGAATCCTGGCCAATTTGTGCATACCACAACTATTCCACCAAATATCTACTATCTCTCGCCAATACAAGTACCAGATTGAGTCCAGATAACTATTGTTGAAGATATAGTTAATTAAACAAAAATATGCTCTCTCTAACAGCTTAAACGTTTAGATGAGATGGTCACATATTTCTACATGGTATCAAAGCAAGCAGAGGTCTTGGGCTCAAATTTCCCTGCCAACCTTTATCAAAAAGAATTTCCACGTGTGACTCGTCAAAAGGAATCAAGCCCACAGGTGAAGGGAATGTTGAAGATATAATTAATTAAATAAAGTATGTCTCAAACAACTTAAACTTTTAGATGAGATGGTCACATACTTCAACAATTGTATTACTTTCTTTATTGTTGCAAACATACAAATTGATTGTCGTTACCTAGCCTCTATTTTTTGGTTGTATAGATTAGGCACGTCAAGCATGAGAAATTAATGAATTAAGCAGTCCCATAAGCTGAAGAGGAAATAGAATAAATTCCTTTTTAAGGGCTTAGATCATATAAGGAATGACTGTAAATGGAGGATGGCTTCACACCACTACAAGAGTATCATGCTAAGATCATTCTTTTCTTCCATCTGATGGATAAGCCAAAGAAAACAAATATTATGTGGACCACCAAACATAAAATATACAAAGAATATCACAAATTAAGCTGCAGTCATAACATAGACGAAGAGCACACTGCAGAAAGATAGGCTTGTCAGACAGAATGAACTTACCGGTTGAATTTCTTCTTGATCTGTCAATGCACGATAAGGCCGATACGTATGGTTCTGGCGCTTTGCCCATATCCAGTAACGTTGAAATTGCACTGGTATACCAAATGCCTTAGCAACTTCCTCCTGGAAACAGATGTACCATCAGACTTTACATTCCATATTTCAAGTTGTAGGAGCAGAAAATATCACATGAAGCCTCTATACTAAACAAGGGCAAACTGAATTAATTCACAGCAGTACATACAATTGCTCATCAGAAAACGAAAAACAATAGAATGATAAAAGTACCTTCAATTGAGTAAATGGCATCTGTTTCTCAATACTAAAAGTACGCACTTTATCATGGTCCACAAGATCAAAATAAATCTCCTTTCCAATTTGTTCAGCAAGGTCTTCATCACGAGCTACCTGAAAAATGAAATGACTAATTTCAGCAAAAAGTTTCCCAAGTATAAAGGCACAAGAAGTAAGGGATAGAGACAAAAGGTTGAAAAACAAACCTTGATCATTGTGTAGAGACAAGCCTCTGCTTTCTCCTTTCCCATTTGTTCCTTTTCTTCTTGCACTTTCTTCACTCTTACCAGAAATTTGAGGTTGATAAAAGATTACTATCACTTGACCAATATAAGAAGAAACTAAATCAGCAATATTGAGTAGAAAACCACCCAAAGATGCTAGCTTATGTTCTTCTCATCCACATTGAATATACCCTTTTTTCATTGTCACTTTCACATATATAACAAACATATACGCTTTTCAATATTTTATTAGCTCAACAATGAATTGTTGCCAAAAAATGAACTACTAGAATTTATAGACTTTCTGAAGGCCTAAGACATAATTTCAAGATTTGTAAATACTAATTGCTGACGGACACTCTCAGATGCTTCATGCACTTTCAAAAGAATCAAAACTACACCAAACAGAGCTACTTTAAACAAAACAAAAAATATGTAAAACAAAGTAAAGCTGTAGAAACAAAGTGAATACACACAGCAAAATATATTCAGTAACAATCACATTTTAAAAATAAATTCTAGGTCAACTTCATACTGTAATCACAGCCGACTACATTCAGTAAATTTATTTTCAAAACTACACGGAGAAAAGCTACTGTAAGACAGAAAAAAATACGCAAAGCAGAGTGAAACTGTGAATACACACAACAATCACAATTTGAAAAGAAATTTTAGGTCAAATTTCACATAGAAATCACTGCGAACTATATTCAGCACATTTATTTTCAAAACTACACGGAGAAAAGCTACTGTAAGACCGAAAAAAATACACAAAGCAGAGTGAAACTGTGAATACACACAGCAATCAGAATTTTTAAAGAAATTTTAGGTCAAATTTCACATAGCAATCACTGCGAACTATATTCAGCACATTTATTTTCAAAACTACACCGAGAAAAGCTACTGTCAGCCCAAAAAAAAAATCGCAGAGCCGAGAGAAACTTTAAAAACAAAGTGAATGCACACAGTAGCACAGCTAATAAATTCAGTAACGATCTCATTTTCAGAAGAAATTTTAGTTAAATTTGACACCGGACTACGCCGAGAGAAGCTACTGTGAGCAAAAAAAATACAGCTAGTAAAGTAAAGCAAAGCTGTAAACGAAAATGAAATCAGGGAGAAAAAAATGAGGAAGAAGATTATTACATCCATAGGAAGATTGAGGAGTAACGTCGCCGGAGAATGGGAGAACGTAAACCGGCGGCAACTTTGTTGAGTTGAAGTGCTTGTGTGACAAGGAATAGCAAGTAAAAAGTTTGTTGAGCTGAAGTGCTTGTGTGACGAGGAATAGCAATTGAAAAGTTTGTTGAGCTGGAGTTCAAATATGCCTGAAATAATATTCATTCAAGGGGTCGTTTGGTGTGAAGGATAGGTACAAATAGTTCTGGGATAATTATTTTTTGGCACTTAATTTACTATTTGGTTGGAAAGTTTGGATAACTTATCCTGGGATTAGTAATTAGTAAATGACAAAAATGTCCCTTTAAACACTTTTTATACATTACTTTTCACATCCATGAAGGATATTTTAGTAAACTTATATGTTGTTCTTAAGATTTATTATTTTGAATACAACAAACTAAACACTCAATAAAAAATAATCTTAGTATAACTTATCCCATCATAACTAATCTCATCATAACTTGAATTCAAACCAAACGACTTACTTAAGGTTACTAGTTAAAAGTTTGGTTTATTTATAGAGAAAAAAGTTTGAAATATATCTGAACTTTGATCGAAATTGTTGTAACAATTCCAAACTTTGGGCAGGACTTATTATCGTTGCACTATTTAGTAGGGTATTTTAAAAGTATATATGTGTCCACGTGAACATCATCAAAAATGCATTATTATAAATAGTAATTTGTCCACGTGGGCACATATATACCTTTAAAATCCCCTACTAAATAGTGCAACGATAATAAGTCCTGCCCAAAGTTTGGAATTGTTACAACAATTTCGATCAAAGTTCAGATATATTTCAAACTTTTTTCCCTCATTTATATTATATTTTAGCACATAGATGAGCTAAAACTTTAATGAAGGATATACTATTAGCTTTTTTTCAATGTTAGATGGTAATTTTAAGCTTTTTTCCTTTCAAAAAATGATTTAATTTAGGGAACATACCGTTGAACTTTGAGAAAAGGTAGCGAACAAAATAATTCAAATTTAAATAGGATGGTCCTTTGATTTCCCGAGGAGAAAAATGTTCATTTGTGTCATTTTCGTTTGAAAAAAGGCTCATTCATGTAATTATTTGTTAACTAAAAACAGCCCAAATTTTGCAAAATTATTTTTGACGCGTAGTCAATTATGATTCGACAACGCCATTAATTAAATCATTTTTAAAGAGAAAAGACTCAAATATGTCATCAAACTTTGAGAAATGATCGTCTATGCTATTTCAGTTAACAAATAATGGCATAAATGAATATTTTCTCAAACAAAATGACATAAATAAATCAAACTTCTAACGAATGACAAAAATGAATTTTTTTTCTCAAAGTTAAATGGTTGAGCCTCTTCCTCAAATTACCAAATTGAATTTCTGAACATTGAATTCCCACTCATAATGGATTGTTTATAATATATGTAACACCTCGAAAACCAGACCTAGAAAAAAATTGTAGAAAACTACCTGAAGCAGTGAACCACGGTAGGGTTCACGGTCCGTGGCCTTGACGACGGGACGTGGTGGCGTCTGTGACGTCTAGGTTGTAGCCTCTTTAGCCTATCCCTAAGACACCCCTCTCCCAAGTAAGGACCACGGGGACCTTCACGGTCCGTGCTCCTGAAAACGGGTCGTGGGGGCGTCCGTGAAACCTAACCAGTAGCCTCCTAAATTCTAAGCCACCAGACCTCAGCCCAAGTAAGGACCACAAGGACCTTCACGGTCCATGGTCCCTCACATGGGCCGTGGTAAGGCTCGTGAAACAGACCCTCACCTCAGTAGTCACCAAGTGAAGACCACGACCCACTTCATGGTCAGTGGTCCCTTTCACAGTTTGTGAAGGTGGTCGTGGTCAACCCCGTCAGCAGTTTAAGTCAGGAGTCTTTTGGTCTTTTCCTATTTTGTTAGACCCCTAAACTACGTGGTTTTGATTAGCTTTAGCCTAGAAACATATCTAGAACTTACCTAAGTCAGATCTTTCATCAAAACTTAGAAAATTAGAAGAGAAAGAGGAGAAAGAGGCGAGCAACCCTAGTTCAATAACGCAACAAGGTTCCATCAGTTCCAACCCCGAAATCGAAAGATTTCTCCGTGAAATTCGTCACCAGGTATGTGGGATTTGACTAGTAGGTTCCTTTCGCCCATTAGGTCCCTAGAATTCAGTCAGATGCATGATTCCCTATTATTAACTAAGGATTTCTAGAACTTCAGCAGATTATCATGAATTAGTTATTTGTATGTTCCAAATTAGATTATCATGTTATTACTTTGTTTCTTGCATGAATTTCAGAACCCTAGCTTGGTAGTTCTTTAGTTCTTGAATTACACATACTAGGTCAGATATTTCAATATTTCAGATATACATGCCTCAGTTTTCGAATGCTATTACTTTCAGTATATTAATGTGCATTCTCAGTTTGCATGTCAGTTTTGAGTTATCCAGTATATTACAGAAATTCAGTCATAATGTGTTAATCATTTAATCGAGCATAATACCGAATTGGACTAGGGTCAGTCACTCATATAGTTCCAGAACTATGGGACACGTAGGTTGTAAGTCCCCTCTGTGGGTATCATTTTAGTGATTACAGCAGCATGCCTCTACACCTTTGGCCGGGTGCATTGGGTCCTCTCAATGAGGCGTATACATCAGACTCCACATTTATCTCATGTGGTTTTATTATCAGTTATTTGTAGCTCCCATAGTTCAGTCAGACTCCATTGCATTGACCACATTTCAGTATAATCAGTATTCAACATCAGCATGTCTAAATTTGGTCATTGCATTCAGTTAGCTCAGTATTCAGTATCTATATCATGTTCAGATTATACTCTTGCTTTATTGCTTGTTCAGTTATATGTTTATTT